TGTTTGTAACCGTATATCAAACGTGTTTCTGTGGGTTTAGCTCTGATTTTTGACTGATTTAAGTCCAGTTAAATTTTTGAATTAATAACAACTTATTGTGGTGCCACTTACGGTTAGTTTAACAACAGTACAGTGAGGTTTACAACAGTGTATGGGAACATATTTTATGATTTTCTTTAACACCTCTATTAATTGAAATCCCGTAAGTCTTATCAATTACTGTTTTTGCCTGCTGTTATCTTGTTTCTTACTGAGGCGAGTGACTGTGGATTTAAAATTCCTCGTTGGAAGATGAGGATATTCCCAAAAGGGAAAGGCGTCATAAGAGCGCCTTTTCAAGATGGGGGAGAATCCTTGTTCTCCTCTTTTTCCAGCTAAAGACCAAGCTATTGTTTTAAGTGCTATTAAAGATGTAAAACTTACGGAATATGTTGTAGCTATAGGTGATATAGTTACATCAAAAAATGTTATTTTCGCGTCGCGAATGTCAAACGATCGTATATGCATTTATCTGAGTCATAAATCCTATGTAGATCAAATTGTTTCAGAATATTCTACTATTAAAGTCAACGGTACTGAAGTAAATGTACGTCGTTTGCTTAATCCTGCAAAGCGTATTATTTTTTCTAATGTCTGTCCGTCTATTCCCCATAGCATTATAGAAGAGGTTGTCAAGCAATTAGATTTTGTTTCGGTTTCCCCCATGTCATTTCTTAGAGCAAGTATACAAAACGATGAATACAAACATGTTTTAAGTTTTCGTCGACAGATTTATGTCCAACCTAACGAGTTAATAGATCTTCCGTCTTCACTTGTTATAAAGTACGACGAAACGAACTACCGAATTTTCATGAGCTATGACAACATTTGTTTCAAATGCAGATTGACTGGACATCTAGCAAACGACTGTCCGGGTGCCATTACAGCGTCTTCCCCCAATGATACCGGCATTACCAACATTATTATAGAGAGTCCTAGTAACGGTAGTCAGACAGCAACTTCACCAGAAGTGGGAACTAAGCGCCCTACACAGGACGACAGTTTAACTGAACAAAATCCCTTGGACTGATCACTTGGATCACATGCGGAAAATACTCAGCAAGAGCAACCAACGAAAAGGATTAAGCCTTCAGATTCCACCGAAAGTTTAACCCCTGTTTCTGACTTACTGCATCCAGCGAAACAGCTTGTAACCTACTTACCGGATTTCAAATAAATGCTACTTTATTGTTACCTCACGAAGTGGGTTTCAACCCGAGCCCAATAAAACTACGTTTACGACAAATGATATTATTAAAGATATTACATACGATAAGCCAATCACTGTTAAAATATGCGGAAGGGCACCTCTTCTCTCCTCAGCGTAGGCGGCGGAGGCTCCTGACTCTTCCTTCGGTTCTCAGGTCCCGTCTCTTCCCGAAAATCTTCCTTGAAAAGCCCCTGAACTTGATTGTCTTCCTCCCGAGCTCCTCACTCGCTCCCCCCCGCTATCTCTCCCGTTCTTATCTCCCTTTTTCTCCCCGTTTTTTCCCGTAGCTCACACCAACACTACGCGTGATAGATGCGCCACCACTTCCAATGCAATTCAATTCAAAATTAAATAAAAATCCGTTACAAGCTGCTTGAGAATGCCCAGTACCCACTCAATTTTGAGCAGACGGTTGAGTTTCTAGAAAAAGCAACTGGAGAAGTTGATCTGTTGAAACTGGCTCATAAATACACAACTGACGTGCAAGGTATAATAGATATGCTGTTTGATATATTTCCTATTGTTCAGCACAAAAGCATAAAGAATCGTTGTAAGAAAATTCAGAAAAGGTTAAAGAAAATTTGCGGTAAACTACGAAATATTGACATTTCTGACGTTCCCTTGAGAGATATTGATCTTTCGCAACAAAATGCTTCAATTCAATAATAAAAATAACTGTAATTACTTTGTTAGTTCTCTTGTGTACTCGAATATTGCTTCTCTTCTCGCCAAATATGACGAATTAATTGCGTTTATCTCTTGCAACAATCCTTCATTTGTTTTGTTGGCAGAAACGTGGTTATCTCCTAGTATACCTGACAGCTTCGTCTCTGTGCCGAATTTCACTCTTTTCAGAAGTGATCGAATTAATAGATTAGGAGGGGGTGTATGTATATATGTTTCTGACCAGATTTTATCAGAATTTTCGGTAACTCCTATAAATGTTAATACTTTCGGCATTGATTCACTTTTTTTGAAAGTATCTGATAAAAATGTTACTTTTGTCCTGGGATGTGTTTATCGCCCTCCGAGACCAGTGCTGCTTGCTGATGATAATAACTTATTCAGTTCTCTGTCGCAACTTGCCTTTACTCACAATAAATTTTTTGTATTCGGAGACTTTAATATGCCAGACATAGCTTGGCCTTTAAATATGAGTCAACATTTCAGTCCATCTTCGCAGCTATTAATAGATCTGCTAGTTAATAGCAACTTGAACCAACTTGTTAATGAACCCACCCGTTATAGGCTGAACCAAAGACCGTCTACATTAGATCTGATTTTAACGTCTGATGATACTTCACTAGCAAATTTGAATTATTTAAACCCATTCGGCAAATCTGATCATGTAACTTTAAAGCTAGATCTCCAACTTTGTTTTGTAGCGAGATCTAAAACTGTTACCTTACAAAAGCGGATTGTTGACTTTAAAAAAGCTGATGAATATTTGTCTACTGTAGACTGGGCAACCCTTTTAAACCATCCATCGGTTGATACAAATTGGGAAAGTTTTAAAAACAGGCAAGGAAGATGATTATAAGGTTCATCGTGCGTTTTCTAACCGCGTTTCGTCAATCATCAAAGATGTAAAACATAAATATGAAAAAACTATTGCCGATCAGAAAAATCCCAAAAAGTTCTACAGCTACATTCGCAATAAATTATCAGGGCCTGTCAGAAAGCCGCAGGTGAAAGATGCAACCGGGCACATTATAGAGGACGATTGCGTTACAGCCAACATTTTTGCTGAAACTTTTGCTCAGTCGTTCACAATTGAACCAGACGCGGATATACCGAATTTGTTGACTACTCATAACTTCGATTGTCTTAGTGGTATATGCTTCTCCTACGATTTAATAAATGATAAATTGCACAAATTAGATACTACCAAATCTCCTGGTCCTGATGGTATTAGTGCAAAAATTTTAAAAGAGTGTGGCAGTTCCCTTGCTCGCCCGCTTTGCATGTTGATGAAGCAATCATTTCGGTCAGGACGATTGCCAAACGATTGGAAAACTGCCACCATCACACCTGTGTTCAAAAAAGGGGACAAGTTTAATGCGGCGAACTATAGGCCTATAAGTTTAACTTCAGTAGTAGTGAAACTAATGGAATGTATCATCTACGATCAGTTGGTGGCGTTTTTAACAGCACACCAGGTTATACCTCGTGAGCAACATGGTTTCACACCTGGAAAGTCCATAGCGACCAATTTGCTCTGTTGTTTAGACAACTGGACTAGAGAACTCGATTCTGGTGGCTCAGTAGATATCGCGTATTTTGATTTTTCGAAGGCTTTCGATCGTGTGCCGAAACGCCGACTCCTTTTGAAATTACGACATTATGGAATCCAAGATAGTCTTCTCAGGTGGATTGAATCTTTTCTTTCTGACCGAATATTTAAGGTTAAGGTTGGTGATATGTTTAGTTCTCCTTTTCCAGTTCTGAGCGGTGTACCACAGGGCTCTGTATTAGGACCCTTGTTGTTTTTAGCGTATGTATCCGACATAAAAGACTGCTTAATTTCTCCTTGGGCAATGTATGCTGACGATTTGAAAATCTACAATATTTGTTCCAATTATGAAGTCTTAACGAAGGATATAGCAACTATTTATAACTGGTCACTAAAATGGTTACTTCCAATTAATGCGGACAAATGTAATATCCTTTATTTAGGCAGCGACAATCCAAAGCAAACTTATTATATCAACGGCACCGAGCTTACCAAGTGTGTTTCTTTGTCGGATATGGGTGTTATCGTAACGTCTACTTTGACATGGTCTGAACATATCACAAAAGTCGTGAAAAAAGCCAACAAGATACTATATCTTCTCGGAAAGACATTTGCTAAAGCTGATGTAAATACTGTAACTAAACTGTATAAAACTTATGTTAGACCGATATTAGAATATGCCAACTGCGTTTGGGTTCCAACATTACAACGTGATATCAATTTACTAGAATCTGTACAGCGTCGTGCCACAAGAATACCGTACGGACAAGTGCGCCCCTCTTACCCTGACAGACTTAATCTTATGAAATTGCCATCGTTAGCCGACAGGCGTGTAAGAGGTGACATGTTGACAACATTTCAGGCTTTTACAAATATTAGTTCACCTATCAGACATCTTTTTCCTGTCAACATTGATGGACGAACCAGAGGTCACCGGTTCAAATTGGAGAAGGACAATTTTCGGACTTCCATTCGTCAGACGTTCGTCACTAACAGGGTATTCACCGAATGGAATGCATTACCCCCTGAAGTTGTTGAAAGTGCTTCCGTTCCTAGATTTAAGGTCAACTACGACACCTTTCGAAACCGTAGATAGTTGTAGTTATATCCATAATTTATTATATTTAAAATAATTTGTGATTGCATCAATTGTCGTCTTGCGCGGGCATAACAGACTTCGGTCTCTGCCCGAGCGCTTCATTTTAATAATAATAATAATAATAAAAAAACGAAACGTTTTTGTAGCTTTCTAAAAAAAAATTTCGGTGATTGTGAAAAACTTCATCCCATTTTTCTGTAACAAAAAAATTTTGAGTGAGTTAGTGACTTTTATGAAATACTTATATCTACTCAACAAACTGTGGATGTTACTACAAGAACCGCCATATTCAGAAGGTAAACATTCTTTCGGCATCGCCTCACAGAGAGATTCCAAGCCACTGTCAATTTTCAACTGGAATAAAAAAATGTGATTTATGTCACATACATGCTAAAATTGATACATTTTTATGTTGCCTCTTACAAAATTATGTTTTCAGAAAGGTGCAAAATTAAACTAACGTCTAATGTCAAACTCCAAACTTGCATTTCTTCTTTCTGAAAGAATGTCATATCACAATAGTCGAATAGTGACAGTAATTAATTTCATTTTAAACTTCTTCATATAACATTCATTACAGTTAAGAACACACAAAAGTAATGTCAGTTTTGTTCGTGGCAACACAAAAAGTAACACGAGAAGCAGGAAGTTTCAATTTACCTTATCATAAATCTTCGACCGCAACACAGTCTTTAATATTCCTAGGATCTTACCAGCGAATTCAGGAAAGTTGACACAGTGAACGCCCATGATACGACAAGAATATGCTTTCTAGAAAATATAACACAGTTTAACAGCTATACAACAAAGACTGGAAGACAAAAACCCTTACTTCAACGAGGGTTACATTTTTAAGTAATAAAACTGGATTCCATTTAGTTAGATGTTTTAATGTAAATCCTCCAAAATCGATCACATATCGAACCCCGATACTGTCATCATACTGTAATAGTATTTCTGTCACAGCCAAATCCAACTTTATAAGTTCCTTCATGTCATAAACTTCGGCGTCTCTGTTAATCAGCTTCATTATAATAACACGTTCATGATTAGGAGTTAATTTTGGCATTGGCAAGTGCGTACTAAAAACAGACTGTTAAGACTCATTAGAAAATATTTACGAATTTGATTACATGAAGTGTTTCGAAGGAACAATGTTTTCTAAATCCTTAACAAGATCATCGTGGTAACCTCGAAGGGTAAAGTAATTATCTAGTTTTTCTTTTGTACGTTCAACCCTAAATTTATTTCTTAAAAAGATCCTCGCAATGAAGTCATCTGAAAAAAAATTTTTGTTTGTAACGAAATAATGCTTTATTGGCACACCTGATATGTTTTCCGGTAAATGTGGTTGTTTTTGCTTCCAGGATTTAATTAGTTCTACGTCTTCCTTTACTTGTGCTTCCGAAACATCGTAATGTTTTAAAATTTCTGCTCTTTCGTTGGAAGAAATTGCCAGCAAGTCCATTGCAAAGATATATTCTCTGAAAAATGACAGATAAACTAGATATTAGGGAATTCTAGGGATAGGAAAGAAAACGATGAGTAAAATACTAAACGAAATACCGTTTTATACCGAATGAAAATACAAAGGCGGTTTCATAAACCACACGTACAAAAGTTCACATTCTAAAAGTTTGTTTTTTTAAGTAATAAGTCTAAACATTTATTATTACCACAAAATGTACACAGCTTCAATGAGATACTTTCTTAATCACTGTGACTAAATTGCTAAAAAAGAACGCTTAGAATGTGAGGGTAGTGACCTTGTGCATATGTTATTAAAAACAACTCAGTACTGTCCCTGAGAAACTAAATTATTAACAAAAAAATGTATTTATCGTGTACAAAAAAGTGAGTACTAAATTTAGGGAGACCTGAAGTGTGTGTTTTCCAAAATCTGGAGATTTATTATTAGAAACAACTTCGTTAAGGCTCGACTCTTCCTTGAATACTTTTGAGCCTAAGCTTTAAGAAAAGAACGTAAACAAATTGGTCTAAAATTGTAAACTTTTCGCACTTTTTCTGTTTCAGATCTCCACCGGCCGCAGGACCACGAGGAAGAGCTGGTGATGGAGGCCAACTCCTAGGCAATCAATAGCTCAACCGAGCTCGGTAGCGCAGCTCCCGCTGTGTCTACCGAGATGCGCGTCATGGGTGTAAGGGACAATGTCCTGGTACCCGAGCAGAAGAAGGAGGGGTTTTAGGGCGGTAACCATTCTCCTAGTACCACCGTAGGCCGCAGAAGAGGCCAAGAACCATCACGGTGGTCTGCGTAGACATTTCCCCTCCACCAAAAAAAAAAAAAAACTTTTCAGGCAGATGGAACCAGCGTTGCCGTTTCGGTACAATTGTACTGAATTCAATACACTTTCACTGAATTCAATACGTCAGTACTACCTTTTGCAAACAGCCCTAATTTCAGTACAAAATTCGACTCCCGAAGTCATCTTTGCCGTTTCGGTACAACTATACTAAATTCAGAGTGAAATGTGTATATCGTTTTTAATTTCATATGGGTATTGCCCACGGGTTAAGGTACAGATGGTACAGATACATAACTGCAAATCTTAATGGTCGCTAAGTTAAAGTTCTGTATTTTACTGTAACCTGCCCTCTATTGGTAAGTAGATGACTGAAATACAATATGAACAATAGCGCGCTAGGTTTAAAAACTATCAAAGTCAGTTGATAATTTTTTTTTTTATAAAGTACCGACACGAGTTTGACAGGGCAACAATAACGATTTTTAATCCGTATGATGGCGCTTCCAAAGCAAATATTTCATGATACTGTTACGAAATACACCCTTACGCCGCCCCAGTACGACGCCTATGGCCGTCGAGAGTTTTCTGGACGGCGCAAAATGGGTGAATCATCACTGCTGACGGTGTCGACGGCCGAGCGGCGGGCGCATAAAGACAGGTCTGGAGCCGTCTCGAAGCAGCGTCCAGGGGAGTCTCGAAGCGGAGTCGCGATGGATGTTCGTGAAAGATCTCGATCAGAGAATATGGGTTTAAATAGAGGCGACCGTAGGTAATGGATTCATTCAGCTAGTGAAGACAGTCAAGAGCGCCGGAATAATTTCTGTACATATTCGTTGCAATAGATTGTGTTGTAATTCGAGCTGAAGAAATAAATCTTTGAGTTTTACCAACGCCCGATTTATTATTCGCCCGTCAAACGTAACAATATCCTCTGGTCGTAGATGCTCCAAGGCAACATTGTTGTAATTTTCAATAAAAAAACTTTTATGATTTTTTTATTTTTAAGTTTTTGGAAGGAACCATATTTTCGAAGCCACGGATCATGTCTTGGTTCTGACCTCGAAGTGTGAAATAGTTATCTAACTTCTCTTTGGTGCGTTCTATACGAATTTTATTTTTTAATAGAACCCTTGCAATAAAATCGTCTAAAAACAAACAATTTAAAATTCGAGTACTTATCAGTTTACTTTAGAATTAAACCCGTAATAGTTGTTGGTAGATGTGGTCATTTTTCTTTCCATGCTTTGATTATTTCCACGTTCTCTTTAATTTGAGTTTCAGTGATGTTATACTGCTTTAGAATTTCTTTTCTTTCTTCTGTTGTCACTGGCAACAAATTCATTTTACATAAATGAGAACGTCAAGCTATTTATTCACGCAGATACGATACACAAAATTGTATAGACACAGAGCAAACTTTAGTCTAGGACTCCGTACGCTAGTATTTATACTGATTATTGATTAACACTTATTTGTCCCACTCTCAACGTTTCTCCCCATACGATATGGAAACAGTGAGCAGCAAGGACTGTTATTATTTCCAGACTATGAAAGAAGCATAGAAACTAAAAGTTGTTCACCGCTTTAACTAATTTTGATCAATTTTCACCAATCTTGTGGTCATGTTCAAAATTTGCCCTTGAGCTGGATCGTCAACAAAACAGAACCCTAGGTTGTGTCGATGATTCCGTTTTTCACAAACGTGAAAGTTTAAGTTAGTTTTGGTTTTGACAAAATTTGTTACTGTTTACATTTGTAAATTTTCTGGTTTCTTAACGTAGTGCATTAGACAATAGATAAAGTACTTCACTCCACCCAAGACTAAATAATACAGCATTTAATTGTGGTATCTACTACTAGGTGGTGGAAATTAGTCCACAGTTAATTTCTTGAAAGTTCCGCCAGGTCCAAACGCAACATTTTCCTTTAAATCTTGTAGACGTAAATGCTCCAAAGAAATATTGTTGTAGTTTTCAAGGAAAAAACTTCGATGATTTTTAAAAGCTTCATCCCATTTTTCTAAAAATCCATCATGAAGTGATTTTAAAGTCACCTATATAAACTAAATATATACGTAGGAGAAAACATTAATTGGATGCAGTTTAATTTCAATTACCCAAATTGTTTAGACGGAACAATGTTTTCCAAACCATAAATCAGATCCTGATTTTGAGCTCGCAGTCTGAAATAATTGTCTAACTTTTCTTTGGTGTGTTCTATGCGAAACTTATTTTTTAGTAGAAGTCTTGCAATAAAATCATCTACAAACATAATTAATTTAAAAATGCAATGTTATTGTGTTTTCGAATTAAACCAGTCATATTTGTTGGTAGATGTTGTACTTTCTCTTTCCATATTTTGATGGTTTTTACTCCCTCTTCAACTTGAGCTTCAGTGACGTTATACTGTTTCAAAACCTTTTCCCTTTCTTCTTTTGTAACAAGGAATAAGTCCATTTTTCTATCAACAACAAAATATGTACTTACATATAACATATGTACATATAAAAAGGAAAAAATACTGTGAATGTGATGGTTTTTGGTATTTTATGAGCGTCCATTACAATGAAAATAGAATATTGTTCAACGAGTGAGAAAATTGGTCATTGCACGAGGATGAGACTTTCCCAAACGAACCAAAGGCGAGTGTAACACTGTACTTTTTCTACTTATATAATCAAGAAAATAAAAACAAAAAATCAAGAATTTTTAATTTCTTACCTTGTATAATAAGAAGTTTGAAAAAGTTTTGTGTGTAAGAATTCAAATGGAAGATCAGTTGATGGTGTTTTAGTGGATAATTTTACAATAATGTGTACAGCACTGCAGCACTATGAATATTTCTTTTGAGAATGACTCTTTTACGCTATCGTCCCCAACGATAATAATATTTTTTAATTATTGTAAAATGGCATAAATTACGTGTGTAAAAATTGAAACTGTACTCGTTATTTAATACATGAAAAAGTAGCTATGTGACTATAATTAAGAGGGTCAGAGTTTCAGAAGTCACATTATAATAAGTACTCCATTAAAATTGTAGGTAATATGCTTTTTTGAAGCATATCATTTAAAATGCATTTTAGTTCTAATTATATGTAGTTACGAATTCTTCCATTAACATCCATACAACTATAACTTATAACAAATGCTCTACGAAAAAGATCAAGAAGATCACTAGATAATCAAGTTGTATAGCCTAGGTGTTATAACATTTTACAGACCGTAAGTTTTTTATGCACAGTATTTATTAGTCAGTGAAGAACAAATCTACCATTTGTGAAAAATCTAAGAACATGTGAACGATCTGTGTTTACTAGAAACCTAAGCCGCCTAAGCAGTGCATATTTAAAGACTTTTTTAATAATAACAATAATAATAAGATATGCTTTATTTACAAGATTTACAAAAAAAAGTATACATATATAAATGAGGAAAATGTATATTAATAAAAGACGGAAAGAAACATTTATTTCATAACATGTTTGTTCTCTAGCGGAATTTGCTACAGAATCTGAAAGGGCTCTGGACTCTACAGAATCTTGAGGATCTGGGAGACAGAGAATGTAAAGAATATAGAAAGTTTAAAGAATCTAAAAGTTCGTGTAGGCTCACCAAATTTCTCCGGATTCTTGACATTTTTTAAATTCTACAGTTTATCCAGATTATATGTACATATATTCTCTAAACTTGAAATAGTCTGGAATAAAAAGCTTCAGGCGTCTAGGCAATTTAGAGACCCTAGCGAATTCAGAGAGTTTGGAGCTCTAAGAGCATAGAGATACTCTTACAGCTCTAAACTAGATTCTTTGGATGGAAGACTATAGAATTGTTTCTGGGCAGAGTCTGCAAAGTCCCGAATTTTTTAGTCATCGTGAGCAGACTAGGAGTAAGAATATGGGGTAGCCGAGAGACTCTCGAAATCCTAAAAGTTAAGGAGTCCTCTGGATCTAGAGAACACAGAAAATATAACCAAATAATTAGGGATTATACAAATTGCAAAGTTTCCAGATTAATTAGTCATCTAGATTCTTTAGATAGTCCAAATTCTTCATATTCTCCAGATTCTTCAGACTCTTTAAAGAATCCAGATTCTCCAAATTTTTACCCATATGTAGCAGCTCTAGGTTCTCTAGTTCTTCTGGATTTTTTAGGCTTTCTATGGTTTCTCTGTAACCTGGATGCTGTATAAAGTCCGCAGAGTCTCTAGAT